TCCCATCAGCCAAGGAACGTCAGTTGGCAGGGACCAGAAGACCTGTCTTCTCAGCAGAAGCCCCTGACCTCTGGAGCCTTCTTCCTTTGGAGCTCAGGATGGCCCTGACCCTGCTAGCCTTTGTAAGGCTTTAAAACCTGGCTACGTGCCCGAGCCAGGGGTCCCGAAAGTGATAAGGGCCCTGTTACTGGTGTGATGGATAGCAACCGAGAGCAAGGCGGGGGGGGGGGGGGGCATTCCAGGAGGTGAAAGGAGACAGCACAGTCCGCAGGGGGAGCGCGAGAAGAGTAAGAGGTTCAGGAGAGCCCCTCCCTACAATCTCCCAGGGCATGTCCACTAGATTTAGGCTGGCAAGATTCTGTCTATATGGGGTCAGCAAATAAAGGAACTGGACTCAACTGGACTGTTTCACCATTGTTCTTGGGCTGAGCCTGACACCTGGCTGCCCTGTTGATTTTTATGTAATTTTTATGATAATTCTCGGCTGTATGATTTGTAATGATTTTAATGATTGAAATTGCCCGCCGCCCAGAGTCCATTGGGTTGAGAGGGGGGAGAGGCGGGCATTGAAATTGCATAAATAAATAAATGAGCAAAGAGACAACCCAAAGTGTGTGCCCGTGAAGCACCTGAGAATTCCTTTCCCCGGGGTGCCCCGTTTGTTTCCTGTTTTAAAATCCTCGTGCACACAGGGACGCCAAACATCAAGGAGACAGAGATGCCCAGGTGGCACGCTTGCTTTCTAAGTGACCTCAAAAAGGGATTTTTCAATACTAGGGGTAGCTGTACGTCAAGGTTCAGACACAGAAACCAACAGACAAACCCACAGGGACTCAAATCCCCAGATTCCTTAGCTACCTTTTATCTTTTCTCCAGTCAAACTCAACCCCCAAGATTACCTTGAGTTCTAAACTCAACCCCCCACCCCCCAAATTCTCCTGATCTGCCCCAAACTGCTAGCAAACTTTCTTTAAACCTTAAAGTTAAACCACTGGTTCCTGTTACCAAGCTTCCTTAAAACGTTCACCCAGTCCTTGGCAGTGAATAGTGACAGGGAAAATTGCCTGGAATTCTTGCAAAATGCATTTTTCGTTCATGGAAGGGGGGAAAAAATCTCTCTTCCCTTTAATTAAGTGGCCACAAAAGGAGCAGGTTTTTCCTAGGGCTAGTAAGCCTTCTTCCCATCCATAGAATAGGAAGATCTTAGTGATCTAAGAAATATTAAAAAGAAAATTTGCAGACAGGCAACAATACTTGATTTTAAATTCCAGAATTGGGAGAAGTGTAGCACAGATTTCTCTCTCTTTACTTTGCTACGTCCCCCATCCTACGGCATACAGATACAGAGATTTATACATGTCTTGCTCTTAGTTCAACTTTAAATCAATCGGATGATACAAACAATGGAGAGAACACCACAGAAGCAATGACAGAGGGAACATCCTGGGGATTTAGCGGTCAAGAGGTTAAGCCATTAACCCTGATTAAGAAGTGGGCTAGACTTAAAAAGAAATCCATGGTATCCATTGAGAAAGAGGCACTTAGCAAAAGTCTTGAGGAGCGTAAAGAAGAAGAATTTCAAACAACATATGCCCGTGGTCAGGTGGAGGTCAGCCTTCGTTGAGATCCATTGGAGAGACTTCATCTTTGCCGTGGTGGGAAAAGATGCTGAGTTGGAAGAACAGAGGAAAAGCAGGGAGGGAAATTCAAGGGGGGAGGAAGAAGAAGGATGACCCTATGGGGAAGACTTGTCCTTTTCTAAAGCCCCAAAGAGCTATGAATAAAATAAGGGGATGTGGCGGGTGTGCAAAAAAACTCAGAAGTCCTTCAAAGAAGTCCACGAAAACATTCTGAAATTCTGAAAATAAATTCAAATTAAAATCACAGATGTTTGTATTAGGTATGATCCTAGAGCAGGGTTTCTCCAACTTGGCAGCTTTGAGACGTGTGGACTTCAACTCCCAGAATTCTCCAG